CAAAGGCTGTGACCTTGCATTTCATGACCTCAAATAATTAAACACCTACTAAGTAGCTGGCCTGGGATATTTGATCCATAAGTCAGCCAGTGAACTAAGACTTGGGGTCTTTCTATAATTATAATTTAGACCAGTCGGATTCTTCTCTGGAAAGCCTGGAATTGAGAAATGAGCAACAAGACCTGTCACTAGTGCATGTCAGACCTGCCCTCCCCTGCTATACGGGATATATATAGAATTGGATGTCACCACGTCAGGTCTTGTGCAAGAGGAGTAAGGAGAAAGCTGGCTGAAGCAGAAGAACACAGTGGATAGCCAGGGAGACCATGTGGCACTTCGGATTTGGAGAAGCTACTGACTGCCAGCTCTTAATCTTTCCAGTTCCCAGATTTTGGGATTTCTGTTTCTTATGACCCAAAGATTTATGACTAGAACCCACTGCCTCAAGACTTATGGCCCCTAAGGATCCCAGTCAGCTCTTCCAGGTGAGAAGAGGAGAAGAAAACAGGGGCTCCTGGATAAGAAGGGAAGCTACAGGTGGTGCAGCATGGATTTAAGTCATATGTGATGCCTAGGAAGCTTCTATCACTTTCACAGCCCCTCCTCCAGGATGACCCCAGCTGTCTGCTGGGCACCATGGCTGCTCAAGGCAGAGCACCTGTAAAGGTTGAGCATGGAGACAAACGTATCCAAGAGTATGGCCTTTATCTGAGTTTCTAGAACCATGTACTAACCAATCACATATGCCAGGGTTTCATGAGCATGGGCTGGAATAGCAAGCCACTTAAAAGTAAAATCTGGATTCTGTAGTTCTCAGAGATTCACTGAGAGACAGGAACAATACTAATGTGATGATGACATTAAAATAATGCTTTCTGCTTCACAAAGCCCTTTTACTTAAATTACCTCATTGGATCCCGTCACAACCCCATATCCATTCAGTCACTGAGCTTTGCCAGTTTTACATTTTGAACTTAAAACAACATTCTATTTCCCCCAGTTCTTGTATTCTCGTTCTTTTAAGGATAAAATCCAACATGAATAGCTTTGCAAAGTCACACTAAGAAATTTGGACTTTATTCTCAAGGTAATAAAAAGCTACGGGCAAGATTTGAGCAGGCAAGAAAGGTGTTTAGAGTCATATTTTGAAGAAAGACACCGCCTGCTTATGGTGTGGATAATAGACTGATGGAGGGAAAGAATGGAGGCGAGGACATCAGGAAGGAGGCTGCTATAAGAATCCAGCAGAGAGATGACGGAGGCTTGAACAAGGCAGTAGAACTGGGGATAAGGACAGAAAGAAAATAACGCCCACTTATCTGACCTAACCAACTTGGGGGTTGAGTGTTTCCATGATAGGGGATAAAGTAGCTACTTCCAAAGAATATCTAGATCATTCAACCTCAACTATTTTTGGAGGAATATCTGCTTTTAATTTGCACAAAGCACCCAAAAACACAAGAATGAAGCAATAAAGATTTTTGATAATGGGTGTGCCTGGGTGGCTTAGTCGGTTGAGCGTCCGACTTTCGCCTGGGTCATGATCTCGCCGTTCGTGGGTTCGAGCCCCGCGTCGGGCTCTGTGCTGACTGCCAGCTCAGAGCCTGGAGCCTGTTTCAGTCTGTGACTCCCTCTCTCTCTCTGACCCTCCCCTGCTCACGCTGTCTCTCTCTCTCTCCTAGAAATAAATTTAAAAAAACATTAAAAAAAAAGATTTTTGATAATGAAGATACTGAGTTGCTCAGCTTCCGATTGCACGAGGAAAGGGACGTAGCCAGATCCAGGACGTTGGCTTTAAATATACTGCTTGAACATCTTTGTCTAGAGTTTGTCTTCATTTCAGGATTAAATTTAGCAGAACTCTGAGGCAAATATGAGAATTTAGAGAGCCTTATAAAAGGGATAGGCCCATCATTCATAGTCTCACTTTCATTTATTACCAAATGTGATTCACATAACCCAATATTCTATGGCCAATCTAATGATTATGAATCTTCTATCTATAAAAAGATCGAAAGACAGAGAGACTGAATAAATCATTTCATTAGAACAATTCAGGATACCTGACTGCAGAGAAAGAAAGAAACCAAAACGAAAAGAATTTCTACACCTGAAATATATTTTATAATTTAAGAAATTCAGAATACATTTTTATGCTCAGAAATTGATTCACTTCAAAAAGCCATGAATTTACAGCTTTTGTAATTTTTTAATTTTAAGAAATAAGCTCTGTGATTTATGTCAAATTGTATTTCCCATAATAGTTCAAGCAAACTGCATCTTTGGAATTTGGTAAGTCTGAGGCATTACCTTTCTGTATAGTTCTCTAAGACTGTGGCTGGCTATGCTACTTACAAATATGACTGTTATTACTGCTTTAAAAAATTAAAATTCCCATAAAGACCACAAAAAAAAATGGTAAGCGAAAGAAAAGACAAGCCATAGACTGGGAAAAAATGTTTACAAATCACATACTGATAAAAGGCTTGTGCCCAGAATATACTCAGTCTGTTGAGCATCCAATTTTGGATCAGGTTGTGATCTCCTGGTTGGTGAGTTCAAGCCCCGCATCCGGTTCTGTGCTAACAGCTCAGCTTCAGATTCTGTGTCTCCCGCTCTCTCTGCCCCTCTCCCACTCACATTCTGTCTCTCAAAAATGAATAAATGTTAAACAACATTGTTTTTAAAAATAATAAAAATAAGTGGGTAAAAGATTTGGATAGATACATGACAAAAGAAGGTATATGGATGGCAAATAAGCACCTATAAGTACAATAAGTATAAGAAGTAAATAAGTAGGGGCACCTGGGTGGTTTAGTCGGTTAAGCATCCAGCTCTTGATTTTGGCTCAGGTCATGATCTCGTGTTTCATGAGACTGAGCCCTGGGTCGAGCTTTACACTCACGGCGGGCAGCTTGCTTGGAATTCTCTCTCCCTTTCTCTCTGCTCCTCTCCTCTTTGCTCTCTCTCTCTATCTCTCTCAAAATAAATAAATATTTTTTTTAAAAAAAGTAAATAAGTACAATACCATTAGTCCTTTGGGAAATAAATTCATCAAATAATTAAGTAATTATAATCCATTGATTAAGTAACTAAAATTAATCTTATTAATTTAAACTAGCAAATTACAACCACAATGAGCTACCATTACATACGCATTAAAATGGCTAAAATTCAAGAAACTGAGCATTCCAAGTGATGGTGAGAATGTGGAGGATCTGGAACTCTCACCCACTGCTCATAGGCATCAAAAATAGCAGCAGCACAAGATAGTACAAGTTTCTTGAAAAGTTAAATATAAACCTGCCATACGACCCAGCCCAAAAGAAATGAAAGCCTATATTGACACAAAGGCATGTATGCAAATGTTCCTAGCAACTTTATTTGTAATAGCCTTGAAGTGGAAAGCACCACATGACAGAACTGCAAAATAGTTATTCCGTGAGAAAAAAAGCCAGACAGAAAAAGCACAGATGGTGCTATGAAATCCTAGAAAATGCAAACTAATCGAGAGCGGGAGAAGGCAGACCAGTGGTTTCCTGGAGATGGTGGGCGAGATGGGGAGAGGCAGAAGGAATGGATTACAAAGGGACAGAAAAAAATTTTGGAGGCTGATGAATTTGTTATCTTGATTGTGGTGATGATTTCATGGGTGTACACATATGGCAAACTTATTAAACTATACACTATAAGTATGGCAAATTGTTATATGTCAATCACACCTCAATAAAGCTGTTAAAAAATGGGGAAAAATAAGTAGATGTGGTCAGTATTTGTAGTTTAAGTGGAGCCTGAAGAACAATCAATATTTAACCAAGATGGCATTTAAAGATCAGATGTGTATAATAAGGTAGTGATGATGCCCTGAAAGTGTGAATTTGACCTTCAACTAGATTTTTCATGGCTACCGCAAGGAAGTTCCCTGATTTATTTTTACTTCACCTTTACTAGGTTGTAAACAAGGTGAATTTATTTTCTTGGTGACGAATGAAAGCCGGGCCATTTCCTCCCTAGGATGCTTTTAACCATGAGAGCCTGTCCATGTTCTAGAATGTTCCACTAAAAGAAATTTGTGAACTTAATACAGAAATCACATGAATCGCATATTTCATTTGAGTTTTTGAGATGGCTGCAATGAACTTTTCCTTGCCTACCATAAATCTCCATTTCTTCATTCATCCTTGAAGACACCATTTAAGTTTAATCATCCCCCTACGAGAGCCACAGTCAATAAAATAATGAAAAGAAATAAGAAAAATAATCAGGACAATATATTTTAATGTACTGAAATTTTGCTTACAAATCTCCTGAAACATAAAATTTGAAGACACAATAGCTAGTCCATCAATCCTTTCCCTTAGAGAAATACCACAGGCTTCTGACATAATGATTGAGCATATAATTTCTATGTCCTCCTTCTCAAGACCCAACCAAAATGGGCATAAAGGAGTAAAAAGAGAAGAAGAAGAAGAAGAAGAAGAAGAAGAAGAAGAAGAAGAAGAAGA